AAAATATTAAAATACAAAAATTGTAAAAACGGAAAATTCAAATTAAGAAACTAAAAAATCGACAATTTTAAAATTCTTAAATTGTAAACTTCAAAAGATAAAAAATCGAAACTGCAAAATTGATGAAATGAAAAATTGGAAATTTAAAAATCTATCAAGTAACAATCGGGAATTAAAATCGCAAAAATCAAATTTTCAATTTTTAAAAATCTAAAAATTCAAAAGTTGAAAAATCAAAAAGTTGAAGAAACAAACAACTGACAGAATTTTACAATTGAATATCAAAAAATACATAATAAAATAAAATGAAAATTCAAACTGAAATATTGAGAAATTGGAAACTAAAAAAATTTAAAAATCTATAAATTGGAAAATTGAAAAATCAACATTTTGGAGAAACGAAAAATCGAGAAATTGAGAAAGGATTTTGATATTCCATTTTTTGGGTTTTCAAGTTTCCCGATTTGTTTACAATTTTGTAATTTTTCGGTTTTTAATTCTGCTTCTTCGACTATACGCTTTTACGATTCTTCGATTTTTCATTTTTGTTTTGTGAATACTTCATTTTTGGTTATTTCAATTTTTTGATTTTTCAACTTTTCGATTTCTCAATTTTTCGACTTTCGATTTTTTCGTAACTTCGAACTCCCGATTTATGAATTTTTAGACTTCGAGTTTTCGCCTTGTCGATATTTTGATTTCCCGATTTTTCAATTTTTTAAATTTCGAATTCTTAATTTCTCGATTTTTCGTTTTCTAATTTTTGAAGTCTCGATATTTCAGTGTTTCAATAACAGAAATCGCAAATAAAATTTTTCGTTTTTCTATTTTTCGAATTTTGAATTATTATCCATTTTTTATACATATTTCAATTTTTCGATTTCTCAATCATCTGATTCGATTTTTCAACTTCTGAATTTTTTAGTATTTCTATTTTTTAATATTTTGGTTCTTCGATTTTACAATTCTTCGATTTTTCATTTGTTGTTTTGTGAATACATCATTTTTGATTATTTCAATTTTTTGATTTTCTATTTCTCAATTTTTGGAGCTTCGATTTTTCCATATCTTCGATTTTCCAATTTAAGAATTTTTAGACTTCGATTTTTCACCTCAAGTTTTTGATTTTTCAATTTTTCAATAACACAGAAATCGAGAAATCGCAAAATCGAAACGATGAAAAATCGACAATTTGAAAAATCTAAAAATCAAAAAATACAAAAAGTTGAAAATTCAGAAATCGGAAAATCGAAAAATCCAGTAGTCGAAAATCAAATTGGAAAATTGAAAAACTTGAAAATCGGACAATTGAAAAATCAAAAAATTAACTAATCCAAAATCGAAAAATTTTAAATAGTAAAGTAGAAAAATTGCAAACTGATAAATCAGAACGAAAAATCGCAGAAATCAAAAAATAGAAATTTTGTAAAATTTGCGAGTTAATAATTACTAAAAATTTTAAAATAAAAAAAAATAAAATCGAGAAACTAAACATCGAAACATTGAAATTACGAAACATTAAAATCTAAAAATTGTAAAGACGGAAAATTGAAATTAAGAAACTAAAAAATCGACAAATTTAAAATTCTTAAATTGTAAACTTCAAAAGATAAAAAATCGAAAAATTAACTGCAAAATTGACGAAATGAAAAATTGAAAATTGAAAAATTTGTCAAGTAAAAATAGGGAATAAAAATCGTAAAATTCAAATTTTCAATTTTTAAAAATCTAAAAATTCAAAAGTTGAAAAATCGAAAAATTGAAAAAACAAACAACTGGCAGAATTTTACAATTGAATATCAAAAATACATAATAAAATAAAACGAACATTTCAAACTGAAATATTGAGAAATTGAAAAATCAAAATTTTGGAAAAGCGAGAAATTGAGAAAGGAGTAATCGAAAAATTGAAACTCAAAAACGTAAAATACCAAAAATTTGAAGTTTGAAAAGAAAAATCGTAAAATTTAAATTTCGAGAAATTGAAGATACAAAAAACCAAAAGTCGAAAAATTCAAAAATTAAAAATCTAAAAATTCAAAATCTGAAAAATCGAAAACTTGAGGAAACAAAAAACTGAAATATAAACACTGAAAAACTTTATAATTTTTTCGTTTATATATTTTGATATTCCATTTTTTGGCTTTTCAAGTTTCCCGATTTGCAAGTTTACACTTTTGTAATTTTTCGGTTTTTAATTCTGCTTCTTCGACTATACGCTTTCACGATTCTTCGATTTTTCATTTTTGTTTTGTAAATAGGTACTTCATTTTTGGTTATTTCAATTTTTTGATTTTTCAACTTTTCGATTTCTCAATTTTTCGACTTTCGATTTTTTCATAACTTCGAACTCCCGATTTATGAATTTTTAGGCTACGAGTTTTCGCCTTGTCGATATTTTGATTTCCCGATTTTTCAATTTTCTAAATTTCGAATTCTTACTTTTTCGATTTTTCATTTTCTAATTTTTGGAGTGTCGATATTATTTATATATTAACAGAAATCGCAAATAAAATTTTTCGACTTCTCAATCATCTGATTTGATTTTTCAACTTCTGAATTTTCAGTATTTCTATTTTTTAATATTCTGGTTCTTCGATTTTACAATTCTTTGATTTTTCATTTGTTGTTTTGTGAATACGTCATTTCTGATTATTTCAATTTTTTGATTTTCTATTTCTCAATTTTTGGAGTTTCGATTTTTCCATATTTTCCAATTTATGAATTTTTAGGCTTCGATTTTTCACGTTATTAAGTTTTTGATTTTCCGATTTTCCAATTTTTGAATTCGTGATTTTTCAATTTTGCACAGAAATCTAGAAATCGCAAAATCGAAACGATGAATAAACAAAATATCGAGAAATTGAAGAATCTAAAAATCAAAAAATTTAAAATCCATAGGTTGAAAATATCGAAAAACCGAGAAATGGAAAAGTCGAAAAATTGAGCAATTCGAAAAACTGAAAAATTTGAAAATTAACATCAAAAATTGATAAAATTTTAACTTAGAAATCTGAGAACTAAAAATCGGGAATAAAAATAGTAAATTTAAACTTCGAAAAATTCAAAATTTTAAAAATCTGAAAATTCAAAAGTTGAAAAATCGAAAAATTGAAGAAACTAAAACTGAAAGAATTCTACAATTGATTATCAAAAAATACCTATAGGTATAATAAAACATAGAAACTGGAAACTAACAAAATTAAAATATCACAATAGAAAAATTGAAAAATCAAAATTTCGGAAAAACGAGAAAGAAAGGAAAAAATCGAAAAACTGAAACTCAAAAACGTCAAAAACCAAAAATTTGAAAATGAAAAGTAGATTTCGGAAGTAAAAATTGAAAAGAAAAATCGTAAAATTTAAATTTCGAGAAATTGAAGAAACTGAAGAAACAAAAAACCAAAAATCGAAAAATTCAAAAATTAAAAATCGAAAAATTCAAAAGTTGAAAAATCGAAAAATTGAGAAAACAAAAAACTGAAATATAAAAACTGAAGAACTATAAATCATCTATAATATTGAAAAATTGAAAAAAACATGAAATATCACAATTAAAAACTGAAAAATTTATCAATTAAAAAAATTGAAAAATGAAAATTATTGAGTAATAAAAAAAATTGATATTTCAATAAATTTTGAAAATTAAGAATTAATGGTATTGAAAAAAAAATCGAGAAACTGAGCATCGAAATACTGAAGTCACGAAACATTGAAATATAAAAATTTTAAAAACGGAAAATTGAAATTAAAAACTAATAAGAAATCGAAAATTTTAAAATTGAAAACTCCAAAAGTTGAAAAATCGAAAATTTGAAGAAACAAAAGCTGAAAGAATTTTACAATTGAATGTAAAATAAAAAAATAAAATTGAAACTAAAAAAAATTAAATACTACAATTGAAAAATTGAAAAATCTATACCTTAAAAAACCGAAAAATTGAAAAAATTGGAAAAACAAGAAATTGATAAATTGAAAAAATTGAAAAATTGAAACGTGATAACCAAAAATCGAAACATTTGACATTGAAAAGTGGATCTAGCTAGCAACTAAAAATTGAAAAGAAAAATCGTAAAATTTAAATCTCGAGAAACTGAAGAATACACGAAAAATTTAAAAGTTGAAAAATCGAAAAATTGAGAAAACAAAAAACTGAAATAAAAAATTTTAAAAATTTTACAATTGAACCTCGAAAAAAAATTATAATTAAATATAAAAATTGAAAAACTAAAATTCAAAAACTTAAATAATTTAAAATTGAAATATTGAGAAATTGAAAAAAAATGAAATATTACAATTAAAAAATGAAAAATCTATGAATTAAAAAAAATAAAAAAATTAAAACTTTTGAGTAATCAAAAAATTGAAAAATTTTAAAAGTTAATAATTATTATTACTTAAAAATCGAGAAACTAGAAATCGAAATATGTAATTACCAAACATGAAAATTCTAAAAATTGTAAAAATGAAAAACTGAAATTGAGAAAATTGGTCGAAGGTTATTTCGACAGAACTTCTCTCGCCCCTGAAGTACGATGAAACATACCCAACTTCTACGAAAAATTACAAAAGATGATTCTGCGAATTTCATTTTTTTTATGAGAACTCTTAGAAGTTAAAATAAAAGTACGTATGTAATGTTAAAGTCAATGTAAAGAAGCGTGGTTTCAAATGAGTTTATCCTTTACAAAATTTTGAGAGTAAACGAATAAATTTTGATTAATGATTTACCATCATTACGATAATCTTAAAACATTTGAAAATTTTTCAGTTTCAAAGTTAAATAATTGCAAAATGTTATAGAATTTTGATTTTTTTCCAAAATTTTGGATATCAAGGGTAAAACACGAATTCATACATCATATGTGCAAGAGTACCTTATTTTATAGAATTAAAATGTCTATGTATTAAACTGAAAATTTAAATATCCTAGGAACTAAAAATCGAAAAGAAAACAGCAAAATTACAATAAAATGAGAAACAAAAATAAAAAATCGGTGTCAAAATTTCAAAAATTTAGTTCAACAAATTCTTCAGATTCTTACAATTAAGAAGGCAAATTTTTGTGTACAACAGTGAAGAAACTTTTATTTCGTTGGCCTGCGGAAATACAACTCGCAACACATTATCAGAACGCCGAAAAAAGCTTCTAGTACTATTTCTCCACAGCTTTTACCATAAACAAACCTATATTCCTTTCTTCGTCTCATTTTAAAGGTTCGGTCGACGTTGGCCTAGCTCGTCCTCCCCCATATTCACCATTCTACTCATGCTCTAAAACCACATAATAAACCCTGGTTTCGTTCCCCGTTTCAATAAAAATCACCCTTTACAAATCGCTTCGCAACATTTTTCGAACATCACGAAAAAGGCTTCCACCACACACATAACGCACGTTTCCAAACACATTCCGACCCTCTAGCTTGCAGACCACTCACATTTCAAATTTTGTCATAATTTCGCTGTCAAAAACGCCACCCATCAAAACCTACTTGCCATTTATTCCAAATATGTATTGTTTCGCATTTCCGCAACTGTGAAAGTCGACCCATCCCAAAGTAAGTCCAAACCCGGCCCTAATTCAATGAACATCGCTGAATTCACGTCAATTATCACAATTCACGCTACGCATGTTCCATCCATAACGAAACTAATTATTTCCCGGCTTCCCACATATCCGACTGTTTGATTTAATTACGAGATAACCAGCGGTCCGACCCACCCTTGTGGCAACACCTAATCAACTAATAGTTTGTGGTAACCGAGAAGAACTTGAGACCGAAATGCAAATATTAAATTAGAGGAATATACCAAACTGACAACGGAGATGGGACGGGAAATGACCGGGGGCGTTGTTAGAGTCGAGAGAACAAAGTTATAATGGGAGTTTTAAAACTTCCTCATCGACGTATTCGAAAGCCGGGGGAAGTTGTTGATCCAACGGCAATATGGTAGAGGACAATGATTTAGAATTATTTCCGTGGTGACTAATGGAGAAAAACAACGAAATATAAATTCAATAATACAGAAAAAACGGAAATAAACAAAACAAAAAAAACGACTAACATTTACTCATTAAGGGGACTCGCTAGAGGAGGTATAATATTTTTTTGGTTTTTTGTATGAAAAAATGATATTAATATAGATGTATCATACATCAAACTGCAGCTTTTTTCATAGTCTAGAGCGCAGAGACCAGTTCAATCAATTAAAAAAATATGGCTGAGAAATATCGTAAAAAAAGCACCATTGTATGTTTTCTTTTCAAGTTTTTTGAGTCATGACCATCATAGAATCGCTTGAAAATTCGCACATGGATAAAACATCACTTTTTACAGGCCGCAGAGTCATTAAATGTTTGTTAGTGGTACAATTTGTTTAAATAATAATGTCTTTATTATAATCAAAATATACCACAAATTAATGGAAAATACGTAGAATAATTTTAACAGGAATATCAGAGGAAAATGAATGATCTATTGGTTAGCAGAGTTTTTAACAAAAACTAACAATTATTGAAAAAAATGGGTATCAATTCGACAGAATTTGAGCCGTTAGTTCAGTACTTTGCCGATAGGAGCGCCACTAAAATTTACGATTTTTCAGGTAAAACCCTTATCGCCTGCTCTACCATAAGCTGATTGTTAGAGTTCTCGGCTGATTTTTCTAATTTATGGCAAGGAACTCAGTTTTATAACAAGCCGCCAGGACCCGCCGTAGTAATCTATTGTTAAGGAAATTAACTTTTACGCAATGAGGTACTATCAAAAAACCGAATTAAAACTGGGGAACTATAATATTATTACTCCACTCAGGATCCTGTATTCAATACACATGATTACTAAAAATTCATTGACATATTATTGTTAATACGTTTCTAAGAAAAAAAAATCATCACAATTGAGATGAGGTGGGTGGGCGAGGTTTATATTTTGCCTTTTTTATAATTATACATAGTATTCTTTGAACAACACGATACTCAAAAACCTGTTTTTAATTTCTTGTGAAGAAATAACTATTTAGCAGTTAAGCTCCGCCCCCTTGGTTCACGACAAATAAAAAAAAATTGGTCTAAAGAGTTTAGACAGTACTTCCCTCGCTGTCGGAAACTTGACGACTACATGCCTATTGTGTTTTTTTTTTCTCATTACATTTTTGTAGTGGGAATTTAAAAAAAAATTGTGATGACGTCATCAACATTTTTGCAAGGACACGTATATCAGTTGGGATAGATGTAGTGTAATACTAAGAATAAAATTATTGTATTCCCAAATTTTCGGGAAAATGAATTGGGTCGTTTTGAATATTGATTTCTTATAATCAATAAAATAACGAAACAATTTACTCACGTATACGGCGCCGGTGTGTAATATCTAGAGAGCGGATTTCTGTCGGGCTAGGCAAGGCCAAACTCGGTACGGCTCGTACGGGATGCGAATTCATTGCGGTTGCGGACTGCACGTCGTTTATTTGAGATTAGAATAACGCTGTTTCGTTGCACTCTGCTGTTAATTCCCGTTCTCATTTACTTAGCCGTTTGATTAATAAATCGTTAATTATATTTATGGAATTAATACTGATTAAATTCAGTGATTATCTATCACCCGCTACTGAGTCCCGGCGATCCAGCGCGTCCCCACCTATAATCGTGACGTAGCCCGACAAAAATCCGCTGTCTAGTAATCTGAAAGGCAACTGAAAATCGTTTATGTATAAACATTCTTAATTTAAGATGACAAGCGTAACAGCATACGTGAGAGTCAAACAGAGAAACTGTAAACAAAACGACCATCGGTTTTATTGCTTCGACTTCCGCTTATTATATAAAACATTGGGTTTTATTTTAATTCTTGACGGTGAAATTCACAATTGGTTGATTATAAACATGTCTATTTCACATTCGCGGAACCAAGTGAGCGCATAAAACAAATGCAGGTCTGTAATGTTAAAGTCGATGTAAATAAGCGTGCTACCCTTATGTTTCAACCGAGTTTTTCCTTTAACAAATTTTGTGTCTACCAAATTGGGTTGGTTGGGGTGTAATACTAATAATAAGTGCTCCCTTTAATTTAATCAATAAAATAAATTGACTTCATTAATTTTTTTGAACCACCTCTTAAGAAAATCTAAAAAATATGAATGGAATGATAAATCACAAGTACAAACTCATCATATTTTTTGCATTTTAGATAGGATTTATTCAGCAAAATTTAAGGGTGACGTCATCAATTTTTTTAGGAGGGATGAACAAATACATTTTGAACAAAAGTTTACCAGGCTTATAATAACTTTAAAATATTCCCAAGATTTCAAAGCATTCGGTTTTGTAATTCCTGATTAAATCGATAAAATAAATTCACACCTTCATTATTTTTTTTGAGTCACCCTGCATATGCAAATCCAAAAATATGAATGGAATGATAAATCACAAGTACAGACTCATCATATTTTGTACATACGATTTATTCGGCAAATTTTGGGCTGACGTCATCAGTTTTTTGTAGAAGATAACCAAATATATTTTGACTAAAAATTTATTATGCTCTTTATAACCTTAAAACATCTGCAAGATTTCAAAGCATTCGGTTTTGTAGTTCCTGATTAAATCAATAAAATAAATTTACGCATTCATTAATTTTTTTGAGTCACCCTGTATATGCAAATCGAAAAAATTTGAATGGAATGACAAATTACAAGAAGAGACTCACCATATTTCGTTCATTTTAGGTAGGATTTATTCAGCAAAATTTTGTGGTGACGTCATAAATTTTTTAGGGGGGACGACCAAATACATTTTGATCAAAAATTTACCATGCTTATGATAATTTTAAAATATCTTCAAGATTTCGAAGCATTCGGTTTTGTAGTTCCTGAGTAAATCAGTAAAATAAATTTACGCTTTCATTTATTTTCTTGAATCACCCTGTATATGCAAATCCAAAAAATATGAATGGAGTGATAGATCACAAGTACAGACTGATCATATTTTGTACATTTTAGATATGATTTATTCGGCAAATTTTCGAGCTGACGTCATCAAGTTTTTGGAGGGGATAAGCAAATATATTTTGACTAAACGTTTATTATGCTCTTTATAACCTTAACACATCTGCAAGATGTCAGAGCATTCCGTTTTGTAGTTCCTGATTAAATCAATAAAATATATTTACGCATTCATTAATTTTTTTGAGTCACCCTGTATATACAAATCCAAAAAATATGAATGGAGTGATAAATGACAAGTACAGACTCATCATATTTTGTACATTTTAGATATGATTTATTCGGCAAACTTTCGAGCTGACGTCATCAAGTTTTTGGAGGGGATAAGCAAATATATTTTGACTAAACATTTATTATGCTCTTTATGACCTTAAAACATCTGCAAGATTTCAGAGCATTCGGTTTTGTAGTTCCTGATTAATTCAATAAAATATATTTACGCATTCATTAATTTTTTTGAGTCACCCTGTATATGCAAATCCAAAAAATATGAATGGAGTGATAAATTACAAGTACAGACTCATCATATTTTTACAGTTTAGATAGGATTTATTCGGCAAACTTTCGAGCTGACGTCATCAATTTTTTGGAGGGGGTAAGCAAATATATTTTGACTAAACATTTATTATGCTCTTTATCACCTTAAAACATCTGCAAGATTTCAAAGCATTCGGTTTTGTAGTTTCTGAGTAAATCAGTAAAATAAATTTACGCATTCATTAATTTTTTTGAGTCACCTGTATATGCAAATCCAAAAAATATGAATGGAGTGATAGATCACAAGTACAGACTCATCATATTTTGTACATTTTAGATATGATTTATTCCACAAACTTTTGAGCTGACGTCATCAAGTTTTTGGAGGGGATAAGCAAATATTTTTTGACTAAAGATTTATGATGCTCTTTATAGCCTTAAAACATCTGCAACATTTCAAAGCATTCTGGTTAGCAGATTAAAAATTAAATTTCAAAATGTTGTTTTATAATTTTGATTTTTTTTCCAAAAATCTGGACGTTTCGGGTGAAAAGTCGATTCAGAGTTGTAAACTACATGTGTAGGACTATGTTATTTTATACAATTGAAAACCCATTTACTATGTACAATTTTGAAGTGACGTCATCGCATTAGTGGTGGGGATGATTAGACAAATTTTGGTTAGCGTTTTACCATCTACATGATATTCTTAATATAAGTACAAAATTTCACAACAATCGGTAGAGTACTTTCGGAGATTATCTGTCTAATAAAAATCCGGGACGGCAGACGGACAGACGGACAGACGGACGGACAGACGGACAGACGGACAGACAGACGGAAATGGGAGACCTATTTCTTCGTCTTCTAGGGGTCATGAAAGATCGAGAAAACGTAAAAGTAGAGAGTCGGCCGACGGACTCGATTACAATACTTCCTTTGCTTACGCTCGGGAAGTAAAAATCATCACAATTGAGACAGGGTGGGTGGGCGG